GAAGTATCTCTGTAAATATCACCTGAGATTTTTTTTTTATTGAAAATGACATTTTCCAGCCCTGATCATATTAACTGTTGGTGATGTAATTGTTCTGGAAAACCCTCCAGAAATCTTACTTTTGAATTTAAGTAGTCAGGTGCATTGCCTAACATATTTCCGTCTTACCCAATTCAATCACATTGCGCCACAAAAAAAAATAACGAAATCGACGTAATCGAAAATCAAAACAACGTAACGAATCCTAACAATGTGTAATTGCACGTGCAAACAGCAACATTCCAACCTGCTTCCGTTAGGAATCTGCACAAACCCAACCCCATCACATCATCACCACTTTCCTTGCTCTCATCATCAAAGCAAAAGAGCAATCTCAGCCGATCCCACTGGGGAAATGTTTTCCTAGAAATTTTCTTATCTCAATCACGAAAGCAGCTTGTTGTCCTACCATAGCGTAAAGACACACACACACACACGCACACTCCGTTCGTTCGTTAGTTCGTTAGCAGTACAATGAGAAGGAGAATCCGAGCTTTCACCCGTGATGACCCCCTCGATCTTGGATAGGTTACTCCTTTTTTCACACAATTGCAGGAATCACGTACTACGTACTATAACTGCCCTTCATGCTCCATAGTATTGCGCATTGTGCTTCGTGGTAGCATCTGCTCGCAGTTCTACTGCCTGGAGGCAATCGCTAGTGAAAGCAAGGAATGGGGAGTGGGGAATGAGAAACAGATTTTCTAAATATAGAAACACGTTAAATTAGCGCTTTTGAGAACGTGGTTGGATTTCCCTGGGTGGGGGGTTTGACCGTTAGACGCTGGTTGGGTCTTGTACTAGCAAGGTACGTTTCGCAATACATGGATGGTAGTTTATTGGTCCGAAGATAGTATTGATTTTCCCGTGTGTCGATTATGTTTGACGAAGGATGGTTCGTTCGTGAACGGTAGGCAGTTGATAAATTGGTGGTTAAGCAACGTCCGATTCCTTAAAGATGGGAAGATTTTTTGTTTTCGTAATTTTAGCCCTAGAATTGTACGAAATTCATAATCTTCCAAAGTTTTTTGGAACGATACTGGACGGGAAAGTCAGGAAAACCGTAAGAAAGACGGGAATTCGAAATCACCGTGAATTTCGATGACAAATCGGGGAAAATTGCTCCGTTCACTCTCCGGAAAAATATAAAGCCTAGATTTTGTCCCTTGGAATGTTTCCAAAGACCTTGGACTGGGCTTGATTTTCAGGAAGTAGTCACTTTGAAGATCTGAGACAGGAGAGTTCAGACTAGAATTCCAAGGTTTTTGTGTAAAGAAGTCTAAGAGGATTGTGAGAAGTGCTTCAGGTGAAATGTAAGGAGAATTCTTCAAGATGGCAAGTCAACCAGGAAAACCGGAAAAAAGTTGGGAATTTGAAAAATCTACCAGAAACATAATCTTGATCCTATTATTTCAATAGCTTCTGAATTTCACATAGGGTTCATTCCAGCTCAAATGGGTACACCACCTATGGTCGACGTCACCTATTTGAGCCAAAGTTGGCCAAATCGCTTATTTTGGCATCCTGAACAATCGCCTTTTCTTATTTTGCCTAAAATCCCTCTCAGCTACAACCCTGGATTTCGAGATTTTTAAAAATTTCAACTTTCAGAAGAGATTACTCCACAACCAAATAAGCTATTCGTGATCTTAGAACGTCATCCGTATCCACATTTTGTTTTTGTTATAGTAACTACAGTAAACAGACTGATTACCGGCAGGTATTAAAATTGTCAAAAACGGCATATTTTCACCATGGGCGGTATTTTTTATTTCTTAATATTTTGGACTCAAATTTTCACCACAGTTTTGAAAACTTTTCTACTTGATGTGTTTCATACGGGAATACAGTTTTCGAGTAAAATTTTTCTGAAGATTAGCTTGATTTTTTTTTCTATAGGCCCTTTTCAAAAATAAGGCTGGATTCAAAATGGCGATAGGAAGATGCAAAATGGCATTGTCATAAGGAACGTTTCCACAAATTTTCAACCAAATTAGAAAAATTCAAAAATAAACCGATTTGCGAATTCGTAGGGAATTGCTGAAGTACCACAACTTTAGAAATACATCAAGAAATGGCTTTGTTATGTCATTGCAAACATGCCGTTACACGTTTTTGCAGACTTCGTAGTCGGTGTAAAGTTTTTTACCCACCGTATCCGGAGCGTTAATAATTTATACAAAAATCTGTATAAATGCATATCAACAGAAGCATGAACATTTAATGGGGCTCAATAAAATGCAGTGGTTTGAAAACCTTATTAGACTAAAGTTGATCTTATAGTTATCTTATGACAAATTTATCAGATTTTAAAATTCGGTTGGGATTGAAAATGTGCCAAATATTTTTTGTTTAAATTTTTAAACTAGTTTCAAGTTTAAATTCTTATAACAAATGTTCTGTTGTTAGCTACAGACATGATTTATAAAATCAGGGAATTTTCTTTTTCTCTGGTCCATAATATATGAAAATTACCTCAGAATCCTACAAGTTTTTTATAGTTAGAAATTGTTAGTCCTAGATGCATGTAAAACGTTCTATGTCCGTGATATATTCATCGTGGAATAAAATCCTCGTTTCAGAGTAATGTGCTTTTTTCTTTGACTGCTATCTAGCAAAGTTGTATCGGTCCCAGAGTTATGGAAAATTATTTTTGAAATAAATATAAACTAATAAATAAATAAAAATTAATAAATAAAGGTGTTACAGAAGTTTCTATATCCTAGATCTTTGAAATTGATTCTATTAATATTGCCAAAATTCGTCTAAGTTCGATACTTTTTCTGCGTGCCTCAGAACTTTCGTACCAATCACGAATTCGCGGTTTGAATATAAAATCAACTTAGTAAATTGTTTGTTTAAACCAAATAGAATTAGAAACATGTGGCGTGCAGAGCAGTGCTGAGATTTGTCATTGTCATTGACAGACTTTCGCGCGATATTGACAAAATTGTTCGTCACATAGTCACTGACAGACTTGATCCTCAAAAAAACCTTCGTCAAAATCTCATTAATTTTTTCGTCAATGACAAAGATTCACCTGGTAAGAAAAAGTGTAATTTAGTACATTCTGTGTCACATTATTGTTATCCAAGTAGCTCAGAACGTAGATACTTGTTCACTAAAATGGATCCATGTGATTGTTTTGCTCAAGTCATTTAATTTTGTAGCAAATTTAGCTAGTAAACATATCTGCACATGTTCGTCACTGACACCATTGTCATTGACAATTGACATGGTTTGCCTTGACTATGACTGTTAGCACAAATGAGTGACCAAAGCAGAATTGTCAAAATCACCGTGTACTGTCGAGATTTTGCAGCACTGGTGCAGAGTGAGGAAATGGAGGTTAGTATTGGACCGTACTTATTCAATGAATACTGATCAGTGCTGCAAAATTTCGACACTAAAAACTGATAATAACAAAACAACCCTGGTCACTCATTTCAGCAGAGAGTCACCATCAGTAGCAATCAATATCAATTGTCAGTGATATTACTATCAGTGACGACGATGTGCAGTTTTTTCATTTGCTGAATTACTATCGAAATCAAATTAATTTAGCAAAATAGTTACATAGAACCATCAAAGTGAATACGAATCATCATCATTATCAGCCTGGAGAACAATAATGTGACACAGAATGCGCAAATTCACAGTTTTTTCACCAAGGGAATCTTTGTCACTGACAAAGAAAAGAGTGAGATTTTGACAAAGGAAATTTTGATTTTCAGTTCTATCAGTGTTGCTGCTGAAATGAATTTTGTCTATATCCACTAAAGTTTTCTCAATGAAAATGACAAATCGCAGCACTGATACTGATTTACCGAGAACACATGAGATCCTAAAACTATTTGTTGTACGAAAAATACTATTTTTTACCAATTAACATTTCTTAAGGCTCAAATATCCAAAAGGACTTCACGGAGCCATGAACAAGTAAAAAAATTTATAATAACAAAAAAAATATTTATGAGAAATACTGTTTAAGAGTTCTTCTTACTTTTCCTGTATGCCATAACTGGTATACCTACCGAATATTATCACAGATTGGCGAATTTCAATTTTCCTGCTCTATTGATTTCTTAAGACAATTAGTAAGAACGCCCTCCTGTTAATCGCCAATCGCCATGCCACAAAATCCAATGAATAGTTTCTGGCATAGTTACACAAGTACTAAAAGTTCGCCAACTCCGTACGAATTTTGGCCACCCTAGTTAAAATCAACATTTTTCAAATTTAAAAACATTGTTCCGTACCACATTTTTGCCACAATTATAGCATAAGTGAAGACTACTAATTTAATGATAATGGTTTTACTTGTAAAATTTAAAAAAATACAGGAGTAGCAACAATAACGTCAGTCCAACGAATTTCAATGCTTCAGTTCTTTTTGCGTAATAATTTCAAAAGAAAATAAGGAAAAACGCCTTCATATCGACCACAAGAAATAGAAGTGTGCGCTTTTTTCAACACCCCCCCTACCCCATTCCCAATTGCAATTGATTGATAATTTATGAGTCTGCTGCCCTCCATTAGGGCGACGCCTTACCGCTCTGTATCACGCCATAATTAATAATCGCCAACACCTAGTTTAGTCGTGTAGCCGTCGTCGTCGTCGTGCTTGGCCTGTTCTCGTTATTTCGTTATTCCTTATTTACCACTCTCGAGCCCAAGGAAGAAGCTTCTTGCACACAGAAAATGCACTTTTAAATTAATGATCCACCGGTTGTCCGATTTGCGAGTTATGCAATGTCCCCGCTCCCCCAGTGTCCACAAGTACCGATAAGAACCTGCGCTCGTAGACATCTTAATGTGTAAACATAGCAACAATCGCGCCCGCTCGCTCGAATAAAAGGTCACCCGAGTGAGCAGCGGGATGTCGGACGTCGGCAAAAGCTGTCACATTTCTCAAGATAAATGTCTCACCCGTTTCCCATTTTCTCTATTCCTATTTACAGTGGAGTTCCCGGTGCCGGAACATCGACAACGGCCGGTGGTGGAGGCGGCGGTGGCACCACCAGAGGTGGCGGCACCAGCATGTACTCCGCACGGCACTCGGTCAGTTCGTCGTCCGGCGTTCTGATGGTCGGACCGAACTTCCGGGTCGGCAAAAAGATCGGCTGTGGCAACTTTGGCGAGCTGAGGCTGGGTAAGTACCACCAACCATCAAGAAACATTTTATTCTATCTTGCATTTACTGGAACACTTGACAAAGAACGATTCTGAGGCCGATATTCGCGGAAACGGAAGCTATCTCAGCACCAACGCCAGCTACACACAGACCCACTTGAGGCTGGAAATTCGTCACGGCATTGCTGGTCCGTAGGGTCAAGTTTGACCAACGCATTGGAATGTCTATCATTTTTCCGACCGAATTAGCAATGGCCTGAAACCAAACGTCGTTAACTCAATCAACTGGATATACATCAACAAACTTCAAACCCTAACCTGAACGTAGCATTCCCTCTGTGCGGCGTCCAGCCCCGTACCTTCAAAATTCCTCGCATTACATCCGTCCAACGCTCGTAACCATCCACCGTAAGCCTCCTCCGTATCGCTAACCACGTCCAGAAACTGGTTCACAATCCCCTCGACTTCGTTCCACCGCTCCCGAACGCATCCGGTAGCCTTCGATACGACCTGCCGTGCGGCATCATCCGGCACTTGGCCCACACAGGTTTGACGAGCCTGGGTTAGATCTTTGAACGTCCGAACAACGTCCTGAATTCCGGAAGAAGCTTGCTCCGTAGCCAGGTCCAGTGCCGAGTTGACGATACCGGAGAAAAAGTCCGTAGTTTCGCCGAGGGCGTTTACGCCGGTGTCTATCATGCGCTTCCCGGTGGCGGAATACAGTTGCGAGAGAAACGATACCACGGCGTCTAGGGTTAGCATCGGTAGGCGCCGATTGAGAATGGTTTGCAAGAACTGCCAGGGTTGAAGCAAGCTGCGAGCGTCGTGGGCGGCGGTGGTCGACGCTAGACTTGTTATGGCACTCGGTAGAGGAATGTAGTTTCCGTCGAGGAACGCTTGCGAACCGTTTAGCGTTGGGATTGGGATGGTCGGTAGGGAAGGTATTCCGGTTGCTCGTTTCCTTCGACGGCTTGAAGGTTCAGTCGAATTGGTCGCAGTAGAATTCATAGCAGGTGATTGGGTAGCGGAGCTGGAATCGAATGTTATGCGAATGTTGGTGATGCCATCGGTTCCCCTGGTGACGAATATCTCCGTACCGTTTCTCGCAAAGGTCAGGTTTCCATTCCAACGCGAGAGGTTGATAGCAAGATCCCGGATCGAAGTGCCACGGTCGTCCAGTGTGGCATTGGTGTTTACTCGATTGCCGATGGAAATGTGGACGATCGACGAGGGCGAACTCCTAGGCTGCCAAGACCAGAAACGCGGAGTAGCTTCCAGTGATGGGATCTGCGAAGAAGTCGATTGGGGTTAGCACGACGGATGTTTCACGCTATAGCTTGTTTACCACTAGTATTAGCACGGTGGCTAGGAGATAACTGACACGACGGAGATGCTGAGCCATCGTTTGACTTACCTATGAAATTAAGTCATAGGATTCAGTGGGTTTATATTCATCCGGCATGCTTGGTGTGTTGACGCTCACACGTGAAGCGCATCAGACGGTCAACACGTTTGAACAGTTGGCTTCAATTTTGCATATGAAAACAGATGTTTGAATTCATAATTTTCGCTCTATATGGTCAAGGAAAAAGAGCTTTGCTCCATTCAAACGTCTAGGCAAATGGTAGACTGCCGAATCTGCCCTTGCTCCACTCCTTTAAACGTTATTTAAGCTTCAGATATTGGACTCCCTAAAAACGCAATTCGCGTCTTATCTAAGAATTTAAAATATTGAACTCCACAACGCATCTAAAAAATGCGATTCAGGTCTTATTAACAGAGAAGATATCGCGTTTGAAGATATCGGCTTCTGAATACATCGATGAAGGAGCTCAGCATTCCATATCCAGTTGTGAGGTCACCACGATTTTCATACCGTAAGCATCGATTGTTGCAGCTTGTTCTTTGTTGATACGCACCATTTTACGACTCAACATTCTTCTAGGGATAACACCAAAATTATTCAGAGTAAGTTTGTAAGAGACGTGAGGAATTTTTCGAGAGTTTTGACGTGAACCCGAAGTTAATTGTGAGAGTTCAGAGTTTTGAAATAACTCTGGGGGAAATTCCATGACGATTGTGAAGAGGATTCCTGAATCCGTGAAAAATACCAAGGGATTCGAATGTTGAGGGTATATGTAATTCCAAAGGAATTCCGCGAAGAGCTTTAAGGGAATTACAAGAATATTTCCAAGGGGATCTCCAAAAGAGTGTTTTGATAATTTTAAGGAGAATTCCAGGTTACTTTGCAGAATAATTTAGAGGAGAGTTCCAAGATTATTCTGAGCAAAATGTTCCAAGATTATTCTGAGCAAAATTCTGAGGTGCATTACATTGGAATTTTAAGGAGAATTCAAGCAAATTAAAAAAATATATAAAGAAGCTTGTGAATTCTTGAAACACAGAAAATTTTTAAGAGAATCTAAGGAAAAACTTCATTTTTCTTTTGGACTAAAAAAAAATCCTTGACTCTGGTACTTTATAAATTCCGGCGCTTTAAAATCATAAGAGGATATTCAAATTGATTCTAAGTAGATACCTCGAAAATAGCGTCATATTGCAATAATTTCAACACATTCGTTTATTTGACTAAATCAGTCATTCCATAGCAAAACGATATAGTGGTTCTCTGGACCACTCTAACATGGAAATGGTCACCCTAATGACAAAAAAAAAAAAAAAAAAATACGGGTTTAATATTTTGCGGTAAGGAACAAAACTACATTTTTTTTACGAAATTCTGAAAACCACTAGGGGAAGTGCACCAGTATTGGTCATAGGTTTCTATTTGGCCAGACTTTTCGTGCATTTTGTGGTCGAAATGTTTATGTACACCGATGAATATGATTTGTACCAACAAACTGAACGCAACTGAACATCTCCAAAATGTAAACAACGTGGAATATCTTAAAAAAGTGGCCAAAATAGGAGCATGGCAAATACTGGAGTGTTTCCCCTGTATCGTTTTGCTATAGAATGGCTGAAATATCAACAACCGGGATTGTTTTTAGATTTAAACCGGGAAAACGGGGAATTTGGCAACCTTTCAAGAGTGGTTTGAATTCTAACCAATGGATTCAAAATTTTAATTATCATCTCTCATATCTCATCTCGTGCTCATACATTGATTATGACCGACGTTGCTTTTATCAAATTCAAGTGATGATGACGCAATTGAATCCCGTCGTTGTCTGTAAAACGTCCTGCAAGCTGCAAGCGTACAAACAAAAGGATAAATTCATTAAATTTCATGATGAACTCACTCTCGTTCCTGTTCCGTTAACTATTCAAGGTCATTCCTGGAAAAAGTTTATCATAATGGAAAAACGTCCCATGTTGCATCCTCTCTATTTTAACTCTGTTCCATGTGGGTAGCAATTGAATCCTTTTACACACGGTTAAAGGATAATTAAGTCATTTCCCGCGTACCCCTCGAGCTCGGTGGGCACGGAACAAGGTAGATGGTAGTATGGTAGACTCCTTGACAACGATGCGCTGCAAAGTTTGATAAATCCAGCCGTCGCCCTTCGGTTAACGAGTGAAAATTTCAAATGACGTCAATAAATCGCCATTTACTCCCGCGGGCTGAGGACCAAGGATCTCGAGTATGTGCGGCAAGGATCGAGTTATAATTGGAATCTCACAAATGGATTTACTCCTGTTTTCCATGTTTGAGTACCCGAACACCAAGTGCTGTGGCACAATTAACGTAATGGGAAATGAGAAACGTCATACTGAAACCCGTATTTGCGTTTTTTGTTTTGTTTGGGCAAGTAAATTTCACAGTTGATTGGGGCGAGGAAAGAGCCCAAATATTTCAATCGAAGTAACTTTCCCAACCGAAAGAAAGGAATGGAAAGGTTGTGGGATTTTCGAGGAAAAGTTTTAGCGCAATCTCTTTGTGATTGATATGATTTCTTCTTTCGCTGAAATGTGTAACCTGTATGTGGTGGAATGCGTAAATTGATAGCTTAAATGGATTGATTTCAAGGGAAATGACTTGATTTTTTTGGGTTATTCGTCGAAAGATAGTTCTAAATAGATAGAAGTCCATGTTGATATCATTTCGCAGATAGAGATCGATCTCTTTCCCCTTGCTTTTTTGTGAAGATGTTCACTACAAGCAGGGGTTTCGCTACTGTTAATATTTTAATTTTAAAATCAATTCTAAAAAGCCTTAAACATGCAAATGTAGTGATAGATAAATTAATCTGTTTTGCTTCGAATTCGGGAGCTCACGAGCTCCACTACTGACCTGAGTACCGACATTACCGGAATCACGGTCCGTAATGGAATTTGTGAGCTCCCGAATTCAAAGCAAAACTGATCAAATTGACATAGCTCAATTCAGCCATTCCATAGCAAAACGATATAGTGGTTTTCAGAATTTTAGAATCTAGACCCGTATTTTTCTTTGGTCATTAGGTTAGGGTGACCATTTCCATGTTAGACTGATCCAAAAAATTAATTTGTTTCAAAAATTACTTTTTTTAATTTATAATTTTTGAAACGATGGGCTGATAGCGGGTCACTTTTTAATGACTTTGTCACTTTTTTGAAGGTGGTCACTAAAAAGTCCCTATTTTCGACAAAAAGTCACTAAAGTCTTCGCCATTCCCGCTTGAATTGCAATGTAAAATTTGTTAAAAAATTACAGTGCTACAGTATGCTTAGTTCTTAGTTGGAAGTTCATTGAACTAACGAACGAAAAATTACGCAGAAGAAACCAAGACGATACATCATCAAAGCACACTTTTATTTGCGATTTCGCACCTTTGAGGAGTCCAGATTCAACTGCAAAATTAAATAATCAGGTGACCGGGAAATCGGGATAACCAGAAAATACCGGAAATTCGATGTCACCGTGATAAACTCGTGAACTTCGATGTTGAAAATTGAAATAAAAATGTGTTGCTTCCTCTCTTTAAAATCTCAAGACTAGATTTTCATGATACAGTTACTTTAAACAACTATTAAAAAAACTTTTTTCCAAAGCAGTTTTGAACAGATTTTAGAATAGATTCTAAAGATATGTAATACCAAGGTACTTCGGACAAAAAGTTCTAGGGAGTTTTGGGATGAATTATACGAGGGTTATGATTAGAGCTTTAAGTCAATTGTGTGAGATCAGTGTTTTTTTAAGTAGCCCTGTGAACAATTTCTTGGGTACAACTACTAGGAACTACTTGAAAAAAAGAATCAAAATAAAATTAAGGAGAACTCCATGTGAATTTTCAGTAGAACTTAGAGGAGAACTCCAAGAAAATTCAGATAAAAAAATTATGAGAACTCAGAGGTGAATAGCAGGGGAATTTCTAGGAGGAGAATTCTTAAAAAAAAGTTTATAATTCAAAGAGAATCTAAGGACGAATTTCGTGATTTTTTTAGTGTTCTGCAAAGAATTTCTGAAGTGTTATGAAGAAAATTCAAGGCACTCCCAGAAATAAACTCGAATTCATTTTAGAAGAATTCTGTAAAGAACTCTATAAAGGGAAATTCTTTTGAAAGAAATACTTAAACTTAAACATAATCCTATTAAGCTCTTTAAAGCTTCTCTGGGATTATAAATACGGAAAGTTTGGAATTTAAATAGTTACCCATAACTGAACAGTCTCAAATTCTCATGTCAAATATTTATTTCGTTACAATAAATAGGGGAAATGGCTCTTATGTTGGCCTGTGGATCTAAGATTGGGCCCATCACTAAAAATCTGCTATTTAGCAATTTTATGTAGATGAACGCGTCATTGGGGCGGTTCTAATGGATATTTTTGGTCGCTTTTGAAAATTTAGTCGATTTCTGAATTTATGTATGGGCCCAAATTAGGGGCATTTAGGCCGACATTACATACCTTTCCCCTATAAGAACCTTATTGTAACTAAAATCAAACACTTCATCAATAAGTAGCTTTTGGTTTTATGAAGAGATGAACCAACCTCTGGCTGAAAGTCTCGCTAATAAAGATAACCTAACCTTTGGTTTTATATATAGTTAATCTACTGATTGATTTTAGTTAAATTTGAATTCAGATCCCTAAAATTTCACCAAGCTAATGTACCTGATGAGTTTTATTTTTTATTCTTGTCAATGTCCACAAAAAAACCCTTGGATCATTTTCGTCAATGTCCTAGAACTCTAGTTTTGTAGGTAATTCGGAGTAGAATTCCAAGACAATCTTTAATAGGATTCCATTCAAATTTTAATGAAAATTCATAACAGCTTTCGATGCTAATTCTTAAGGAATTCTGAGAAATTTTGAACGAGAAGGAGGATTACACCATGATCATTCTGAGGAGAACTTCAAGATAATACAAAAGAGAAACCTAAAAATATTCTGAGGATAATTTAAAGAAGATTCTGGGACAAAATGAATCCGGAGCATATTTCCATGTGAGTTTTCGAAGAATTCATAGAGGGTATATTAT